GTATAGTAAGGTGGGATCGGCGATGCACTGCATGGACATGGTGTGGTGATGCATATGGTAAACATGAGAGAGATGTGATGGAAGAATGGCAGCAGCTCCAGCAGCTTCAGGCTACGCGTCTGACGATCCTAGAAAAGACGATGCACAATGAACACTTGTGCAAAAGAGACGTGCCCACTGTGGAGAGAAAAATCATATTTTGTTGCCCAGTGGCTCTGATACCATGATAAATTTTATATTGTTGATCTGTTTTATTATTGATACTTAAGAGGCTATTTAAAGCCAAAGATTACAAGAGTTGTAGTTTTATACTAATACACAAGTTTGAGTTGTAATGAGAAACTGATACAACAGAAGATTATCTACAGAATCTTATCACTCTAATATTTATATTAAAAATTGTTAAATTATTTAATAAAAATAAATAAAGTTGATTCTTATAAGTTTAATAGGAAAAATATCTTACTCTAATTTTTTTTTTTCACTATCATAAAGTATTATACAACTATTAATTATATGTCATTAATCCACTAATGTTGTTATTTTATCCAATATTAATTCATCAATAAAAGTATTTTTTTTTCATAGACAATAGTATATAAATAAGTAAATGCTATAAATATTTTCTTTAAATCACATCTTTTGCTAAAAAAAGAGAAAATAATTGATATTTATTCATTCTGATTGTAGTGTATAACAAAAATATATATATATATATCTTTATTCCGAAGTCTTTTTAAAAAAGTAAAAATATATTGTGACAATGCATCTATTATAATTTTTACAAAGAATAATAAAAAAAAAAAAAGTATGCACATAAAAACTAAAGGAAAGTATAACATAAAATTAGAGCTCTCGCCCTATAGACATGTCCGTCCATCAATGAAAAAATAAATGCATATTGAATAATTCAATAAAATATTTTCCTTGGCTGCAATTTTGGTTGAATTTGTAACAGATGTGGGAAGAATATTCTTTTAGATATTTGTAACTTTCGGATTGATGAAAAAGTTGGTAATATATAAATATACTGTTTACATTTTCAATTTATTCAAGCGACTATTAATTTATAAATTATTATATTGTGATACAGAAATATTGAAGGGAATATTTTAATTACAAAGAATATTTATTTTTAATTTGATAACATAAATTTACACATGCGTTAAAGAAATCTGATTAAAAAGCAGAAAGGTCTTATTTTATATTTTCATTGGAAATTCTTTTATTTTTATAGAATTTTTATGTATAGAAAATAATAATATTTATATTATTTCTTATAAAATGGTAAAAAAAATAATAATAATAAAAAAATCTTCTAAAATTAGAACATGTGCATAGAAAACACTGAAAATCTACTTTAATAAATCTATCAAATCCGCTTTTTTCTAATGCTAATATAGCCCATAGCCCGGTGAAAAAAGAGTATAAAATAAAATAAAAAAATATTTTGGACCAATTTTAGCCAAATAAACTGATAAACAAAATAACCCATAATATATATGTATTTATACAGGTGGTAAATATATATTGTGTGTGTGTGTGTGTGTGTGTGTGTATGTATTAATCTCCATCCTGCACGATGCATGCTTTTAATCTTAGACCCATAAATATTATAAAGAACCTGACCGTTTAATTCTTTTTTTTTTTTTTTTAATTATATCTACTGCTAATACATATACATATATATATGAAAATGGTAAACAAAATTTTAATGAACAAAAAAAAAAGAGTCATATGATAAATTCTCTCGTCAAATTAAGAAGCCGAGCAGCTCGTCGAGGGTCAATAGCCTCAATCCCATGGAACCCGGCGTCGTCAAACCGAGCGTCGACTCTAACTCCGAGCGCCACCAACATTTTAACAAACGCCTGCTGCCGGTCAACCATCGAGTCTCCGCCGTACCCTACGATAAGACATCGCCCTAGCGACGCCATCTTCTTCGTATGCGGCCCTTCGATCAACGGATTACAGTACCGATGATCCCGGTCAACCCCCGGCGGCAACGCCAGCTCCCACAACAGATCTTGTACTGCCAAAGGCATTAACGGGTCGTTGATATTCGCTATCTCGTTTCTCGTTCTGTTTTTCCCTCCAAACATGGGTTGATAGAATATACAGCCGCTGATTTTCATTGGGTTCAGATCGCAATCCAGTGTGCGTAACGCGGCGTTGAAAGCGATGTTGGCTCCGTTGCTAGATCCGAAGAGGTAGCACCTCGAGAAGTCTCCGTACTCTTTGAGCCAGGGTTCGCCATCTGGGGCAAGAGCCTGGTCCTTCACCCAAGTGATGGCGTCAATGGCGTCGTCGAACTGAGCTGGTAAACGATTCTCGGGGGCGAGCCGGTAGTTGACGGAAACGAGAATGACGGTGAGCTCACTGGCGGTCTGAGCGCAGGTCATGTGGTTTATGGCGGTGGTGGCGTCGTAAAGGGTCCACCCACCGCTGTTGTGGAAGTGGATGATGATGGGTAGACGAGCAATGGCGTTGTCGTTTGAAGGAAGATTGGTAGGTCTGAAAATGCGAGCGGTGACATCGGTTACTGGGCTAATGATAACGTCCTTGGAGGCGGCAGGCTCTCCCTGAGCTGGGTTAGGGTTGGCGGCAACTGATGGGACGTCGAAGAGGCGATTGCAGGTGCCATCAGTGTTCAAGACGATGTTGAGGTGGTCGTAAGGATCGATTTGAGCTTGCGACATGGTTAGGGTAATTTCCTAATGATCGATGATGATCTTGGTAATTTTTGGAGGGATGTAGAATGTTTTTAAGATCATAAACATGAGATTCTGAGTTTTCACTCTGCAACTTGTTTCTTTTTTTTTTTTTCTTAATTAATATATGTATTGAAGAGTATAGGGGGTGAATCTTTTTGGGGGCACGGCGTGAATTAGGGTTATTTTGAGCGGTCGAACACCCGAGTAGGAGAGTGAAGAGGGTTTGAGTCAACTGATTTGTCGGGTCAAATGGTCGTAATCATTGACGGCTGTTGTAATATCACTCCAAATGCATTTAACCACATAAATGTATATATATGACAAGATTCATATTTATTTCTAAGATCACAATGGGTTAGATGTTAGATTTAAAATATATATATATATATATTTTTTTTTTCTTCACTTATACAAACTTCAGAATTGGAGAGACTAAATGGCTCTCTCTCACTTGCTACTTTAAATGATTTCAATGCGTCCAAGTACGCATACCCTATAATACCATAAACCCCTTTTATATGAATGGGCGGCCCATCTAATACCATCACACCTCTCAATTCGACGCCGTTTTTATATATTTGTTTTAAACAAAACTACAAAACATATTTTCATTCCAAATAAGACTGATATCATAAAACAAAATGCTGAGGGTACGTACACAACTATAAAAATTAAAAACTTTTTTAACTGTTAAATTCATAATTATATTAAATTCAAAATAAATATACTAAAAATCTTTATATAGCTGATTGGGCTTTAACCCCACTGACATTGCAGCTCCCGCAAGCAGCTCTAATGAACTCCTTGAATCGCTCGTAAAGACCTCGGGCCCTAACCGGGTCAAACAGTTCCACCGCGTGAAAACCATCATGATCAAAGCGTGTCTCCACGTGCACCCCACGTGACTCCAGCATCTTCACCGCCTCCTTCTGCCTATCCAGCAGTGGGTCCCCTCCATACCCCGTCACCAAGCATCTCTGTAGCCGTCCGATCTTCTCCCCACACGATCCACCCTCGCACGCCATTGGATTGGAATACTCGTGATCACGGTCAGCTCCGTCAGGCAGCGCAAGCGACCACAGCAGATCATTAGCGGGCAACGGGAGAATCCGATCGTTGACGAACCTCATCTCTGACTCCGTCCTCTCGACCCCACCGAAGTAAGGCTGATTCAATATCAGCCCTGCGATTTGCAGAGGAGACAGGTCCACGTCGACCGCACGTAAGGCTGCATGGTACACCATGTTCCCGCCCGCACTGCTCCCCATCAAGAAACACTTGGAGAAGTCCGCGTGATCCCTCAACCACGAATCACAGCCGTCGATGTCCATCGCCTGGTTGCGGACCCACATGACGGAGTCAACGGCGTCATCGTACGCCGCAGGGAGGCGGTGTTCGGGGGCCAGTCGATATTCAACGGACAGGATGAGAGCTGAGATCTGAGCGGCCATTTGAATGCAGGATTCGTGGTAAGGTAACGAGGCAACGCTGAAAAGGACAAAGCCGCCGCCATGGAAGAAGATTATAAGAGGGAGCTTAGTGTTTGGAGGGATGTTTTTAGGCATGAATAAGCGAATGAAGGTGTTGTTGGCATGGTTTAGAGGGATGTCTTTTGAGAGGGTGAGTAGGGTTGAGTCGGAATCGGAGGGTTGCACGTTTGGAGTATGGTTGTACCGATTGAAGGAGCCATCTGGGTTTAGTGTAATTTTGAGGAACTCGTTGGGAATTGAAGAATCAGATGGTGCAATTGGGGTGTTGTCTGCCATGGCGGAGAGAGAGCGAGAGAAAGAGACTTAAGAAATTTGGGTACTGAGATGGGAAGAGGATGGTGTTAAGAATGGTTTTTGGTTAGGAATATTATAATAGCCCTTTATATACAAATTTTTGAAGTCCAAAAAGAGAAATACCATTTAATCAGATTTACTTCCGCTCTTAATTCACTTCTGTTTTAGCAAGTAGAAACTAGTGTTTGAGAGGGGAGAAGAAAGGAGGGAAATTGGAAATGGTGGTCCAACTTTTTCAGGTGTAGTAATAATGATAATAATTAGGGTGGGTGGTTGGTTGGAGTATCTCCTTTGGTATTTGGGCTTGTGGAAGATTTTAAGCCAACTCAAATGATCTTTAGAGGATAAGAGGCAATTATAATGCGCTTCATATATACGTATACATATATATGAGGAGTCAGATAGATTTACAAATAAAATGTAATCAGTTCATTTATGTAAAAATTTCACAAATATGCTCGTATTTGTTTACGTTTTTAATAACCACCGTTATCTTGGTGGACGATCCTTTTATCGTATCGTAGACGGGTTTTAAGTAGATAGACTTAATAGCATTTAGCGGATTGTTGATCTCAATTTGAAGTAGTTGAAAACTCCCATAAATGATTTTTGTCGGGAATAGAGGATGTTAATTAAGGGAATTAAAATATTATAATAGTACTTAATATAATAATTAAAGAAAATAAGTAGGATAAATTTGTTTGCCCGATTTAAGTATGGAAAACCAATTTGAATTTTTAATTTATAACTTCACATATTTATTAAACCAATTAAAAAGTAAAAGTAGAGAGAATGATAGTGAAAATAGAAAGTGAGTTTAAAATAACATTTTATTATTCCAAATTTTTTTATTGTTTACTTCTTCCTTGCAGACAATTGAAGTAAGAAGAAGAAGAAGAAGAAGAAGAAGCAGAAGAAGGTTAAAGATGAGGCGAATAGACTGGATTCAGATCCACAAGACACGCACCGTCAAGTGCTGATTTTAATTAATTCTCTGCGGCCACTTACCCGCAATTATATCATACATACAAAAATAAATCTGGAAGCTTTAGAATAGAAATTCATTACTATCGGGTGAATGATTGGTAGAAGGGGCCAATGCTGAAAACTGATATTCAATGTGTTACTGTTACTTCACTGAAAATTATAGCAGCCCCCCCCCCACCCCCCCCTTAAAGGAGTATTCAAGTTCCCTAAAAAAACAGAACGAGAACAGAGACAGAATTCACAGACCGTAGAGCTTAAATTCAGGGTATAAAAGAAACCATGTAAGTGGTTCAATGAGCATTAAAGCCGCTGATATAGTGTGGAGCTTTATGGACGGTATCAGAAAACAATTCATGAAGCTTCAGAAAGAACATCTACAAAACATACTATGCAGCAGATAAATGTTCCAGGTAAACAAATGAGCTATTAAAGATTTTGTGTGAGAATTAAAAAGATATGAGGCAGACGAATCCTAAATTCAATAACTATTTTTGAAACTATTTTTGTAGGATTTTCTTCTCGAAATCTACATTTACTTCCAATTAGAGAAATAATCTAAAATGACACAGCAGAACTGAGGCAATTTGTTTCAAGTTTCACTTCTAATTTCGAGCATGTTGTCACAGCCTGAGCTCACGAGGAAAAGAATAGACCCGGAAACAGAGTAGATTCGCAAGATTTTTCTGTTAGATTGTGGGCTTGATTTTCCGGAGGAGCACATATAGGTCTATAATCTAGTCTTTCAATCATGATGAGTAGTAATAAAATAAAAAAATCTATCTGTTCTCAGAATTCTTGCCGGGTATCCTGTCTTCTTCCTATTTCTCCATTCTATTCTCTTTCTTTCTTACACTCTTAAGCCGTAACTGGGTGCATGTTAAAGATTCTTGACACATGCCAAATTTAATTATTTTGCAAAGAAACACTAAGTACCCAATATTTATTTAGTGTAGTCTATTCTACGTGAGAAATATATAACTGAATTCACCATGTATTATAGATTGGAGAGTAGAAAATTCTAAATCCCGTTCAGAACCTAATTTCAATAGTTTCTAAAGGACGCCCTACCCTTCACGAATCTCGCATATTGCTCCCCCACATATTTCTGGATAAAAGATGTATACACATATGGGAGCTGACGGGAAAAACGACTAGTGTATACAATAACATACTTTCTGGAAAAGGTTCTTCTTTCTTTTTGAGGGTAACTTTATAGAACAGGTTAAACAACTACATGACAATATCTGTGTACATTATATCACTTTTCTTCCACTATCTCCCCCCACTCCCTCTCAATCTGCGCGTGTAAGGGTGTTCATGCCTGTGGGCATCAGGGTTTCATATGACCCATATCATTATCCAATATGACAAACTGGGACCAAGATTTTCTCCATCTTTACTGAATTCCATGTCACTTTAGCACGTAAATCATATTACCTTTCGAAAGGTAGCAGACAACAATAAAGGATATATCTTCCGGGCCCCTAAGGTGCAAAAGTCATGCAAAGCAAACATGTCAGCCGAGGCCCCTCTTCACGACAAAAGTAAACTTGTTTGTGAAGCCTCGTTGGGTTGGCTTCAACACAGGGAAAAGTTGAAAAAGCAGCGTCTATCAAACGTTCAAGTTTATCCCTGATTCTGGGATTCCCAATAACCAAACATGTCCAAGAATCAAAATTCAAAACTGCAAGAGTAAAGAAGAGTCTTTCCTAAACATAAAACCATTGCAAAATGAGATGGAAAACATGAAAAATGCAATTACCTCCTTCCATTCTTGCAAACGTGTTATATGAAAGATAATGCTAATCACAAATTACCTACAGAGCTACAATAGTACAAATTCTACAGTCAATCAAAACTTAAGAGAAAACTCCGTAAACTCACCGTGCCCTCTTCCGAGATTTAAAAGGGAAATTCGTGGGTGGAGACGGTGAGAACTCAATTGGCAAATGGGGAGGCTCGGCCTCGCCAGAGAGCATCCCAACAATTTCTTTCATCGTGGGCCGTTTCTCCGGTGATCTTTGCAAACAAAGTAGTGCAATTGTAATGCAGAGCAATGCCTGATCTTTATCTAATGAATCTATGGAAGGATCAATAAGATCCAAAAGCCTGCCGTTATAGGCAAGTTGCCTAGCCCAAGATATCAAATTAGCCCTTTCGAATTCGGACATTGGTGATGCCGTTACTTGCAGGGGCCTCCTCCCTGAAACTAAAACCAAAAGCAGGACTCCAAAGCTATAAACATCACACTTCTCTGAGAGTACACCACCACCTCCATATTCGGGAGCGATGTAACAAACGGTTCCTCTCATGCTCGGCGTGCTACTAACACCACCGCTTTTGGGTATGTCTGAATTTGCCCAATCCTGACTATTTCTTCTCCCATTCCTCAATTCGCCGCTAAACCCATCTAGCCACCAGTCAATGCTGCTTCTACTGCTCTTGCTCTTCTTCTTCTTCTTCCTCTCTTGCGCAGATTCCTCATCTTTTTGCCACCAAAACTCAGCGCTACCAGTCGAATTAAGCGCTCTTTTCTTCTTTTTCTTGGTGAGTTCTTCGCAGAACTCTTCCTTCCACCATTCCCTTGGCTTCCTATTCTTCTCTTTCTTTCTAACCTTTTCCTTCTTCTGTTCAATTTTCGAGGTCAGCCCACCATTATCCACAGAACTAGTGGATGCAACCCATTCGTTTTTGGGTGTCTCTTTCTTTATCTCATTCCCAATCCACTCCACCACGTAGTCCTTCACTCTGCCTGACTCAGACTCACCTCCATTATCCTGTTTCCACCACCAATCTCTCCTTGAACCCCACTTTTTACCACCACCGGAGATCAAGTCTTTGCCACTGTCAACACTAAACTTATCAAAACAGCCCTCGGATACACTCCCCTTCTCCAAACCCACCTCCGGTGAGACACCCGCAACTGTCTCCGGCGACGCCTCCGAATCGACTACCCTAATCACGCAACTCTCCGGCGACTGATCAACAACATCATATCCAGTCATCACACTATCCGTCTCCTCCAAAATCGACCCATTATCTTCCACACCTTCCTTCTTCCTTTCCTCCTCCATAACATTTAAATCCTCGCTCTTCACTCTCGCCAGTCCGAAATCCCCAATCTTCGCCTTGAAATTAGCATCTAGCAGAATGTTGCTGGGCTTGATATCACTGTGAATAACCGGAGGATCGCAGCAGTGGTGAAGGAACTCAATACCCCTAGCCACATCTGCGGCAATAGTAAACCTTTTGTTCCAGTCCATCAGCTCTTCGCATTTCCGATCCAACAACGCATCCTGCAAACTCCGGTTTTCCATGAGCTCGTAAACGAGGATAAATCTGCGGCCACGGTGATCCGAGGAGAAGCCGAGAAGGGAAACAATGTGAGGGCAGTTGAGAGAGTAAGATAAGGAGAGTTCGTTGTGAAACTCACGCTCCCCTTGAAGTGAGCCCGAGGAAGAATCCATGACCTTGACAGCGAGGGACTGCGACGAGGAAGGCAAAACGGCTTTATAGACAGAACCGAAACCTCCATGGCCAAGCCGGTTGGAAGGAGCAAAGGAGTTAGTGGCTCGACGGAGGAGAGAGTAAGAGAATCTTCGGCATTGCTGGTGGTTTGGGGACTTGATGATGAGGTCAGAGGGAGCCGTGCGGTTGCGGGAGAGCTTGCGGTAGAGAAGAAAAACGAAGAGAACGAGCAGAGCTAGGGTTAGCGTCACTATCCCGGCGAGAAGCGGCGGGAGGGTGTGAAAATGGTTCCGGTGATGATTCTGCGAATACGCCACCGGCGGAGGTGAGGCTCGTGATGGCATTTCCGTTAATAAGAAGGAAACAGAGGCGAGAAGTTACAATTTCATAAAACTAAGCTAGATGGTGAATTGACTGAGAAAGTCTGTTTATTATTCTGCTGGGCTGAGTGTTCTTCAACACTGCAGTGTAGGAGTAGGGAAGAGGAGACTTTTTATTCTGAATTTTCTTTTTAAATATTTCTAATTTTATTCCTGTGATACCAGGCTACCAGTAAAGGATAAGGGAAATTTCGGATGACAGGCGAGGGGTTCCTCGATCCTCATACGTGGCAGCTTCTGGTTGGTAACGTTATAGTCGTTAGTATCACTGTCTTGTGACTGTAGCTTAATTTGAATTTGGCGAAGACTGTTGAGATTGTTATTAGGTTGTTTGTTGTTGAGGGAGTGTGAATCTCACGCTACTTTCGAAGCGTGTCTGATCACGTGGTTTTTTTGGCGGAGTTCGCCGCGAGCGTGAACTGGGGAGATGCAGCGAACGCGCCTGGTATTAGCGTGGGAAAGCATACCGGTCTATTTTTGTTTTGTTCTGTTTGTTTGTTTTTCATTTCTTCAAACCCTAATAATTGTTTTTTTATTGGTTTGTAAAGTTAGAACTGACAGAGCAGTGTCACGTTAGCAGACGCCAGCAATTTTATTTATTTATTAGCTTCTTATTATTATTATTATTAAAGTTCTATGATGGGGTGTTTGACCTGTGGCATGTTGTTACTTATTAGTATTTATTATGAAATAAAATAGAGATTTGAATTATAACATGAGCATTTTTTTACGAATATTATTTTACTGTAAAAATATTCGATTTGGAAGTTCTTGAGTCAATTTTATATTTTTATTTAAAATATAATAATAACTTAGTATTCTAAGCCTTTAAAATATGAGTTTTTTTTTTTTTTTTTATAGTTTTAATTCAACATACATTTAAATAAGTAAAAATATTAAATAAACTGTAGTTTAACAAGTTATCTATTTATTATATTTGGTTGACATAGTTAACCAATGGATTTAGTTCTTTAATATTTTGAAATTTATATAATTATATTTAAAAAATAAAATTCAGTTTTATTAATTAATATTATCACACCATCTGTTATATCTTGAAGAAAATTCAAGAAACAAATCAAATATTGATTAAAACCAAAATGTATGAGAAAACAAAATAGTAATGCATGGTAGGTAGTTTGGAAGAGTCTTTCTTTTTCCTTTACATGCAAATGTCTTTTATTGGGTAGGCTTAGAATACCTAGGAACGGAAAAGCTAGGTACCACATCTACTCTTATAGATATTATCTGTATATGTATATATCATCCACCAACATACATACATACATACATATAATATATATATATATATATTTGAGGGGTGGGGGGCATATTAGTAATTTTGGGGAGAAGATTTTGAGATATTATGATAGTGGGCTTCGTAAAGGGAATCTAATAGTACAAAAAAAAAAAAAAAAAATTAAAGGAGAGAAAATAGATTAGACTTTTTGTTTATTATAGTTTTGGAAGAAGAGTTTAAATAATAAAAAACAAGAGAATGGTAACTGAGATCATGTGAGTCCCACTCCCACTAATAAAATAAGAATGTTATTTTATTTTATTTTTTTTGAAGAAAAAAATTTAAATATATATAAAATTACATTTAAATTTATTGGGTAATTTTTTAACACACGATTACAAGAAAAATAGTTAGTATGAATTACTGAAACCCATCTGGATCATTAAGTAAATTCCGGGACAAGAAAACTTTGATCAGAACTTATTATCATTATGTTGAAAGGTTATTACATTAATGAATGAGAAACTCCTTCTAATAAAAATAAATTCAATTAACTAAGTTATACAACGAAAAAAAAAATCTAATTAAGAAATACGAAACAATAAGCATCCTAACTTATTATCATTATATTGAAAAGCTCTTACATTAATAAATGAGAACTCCTTTTAATAAAAACAAATAACTAGAAAGGATCCATGTAATCCAATTAACTAATCCGTGTAATCTAATTAGCTAAGTTATACAACGAAAAAAAAATTCTAATTAAGAAATACGAAACAATAAGCATCCTAACAAGTGACTTCAACGGCAAATTTATTGACTGGTGCATCCACACAACTGGGCGATCCAAACCAGTCCTGAGAAACTTGAAGAGAGCAAGACTCCTTTCCAACACATTGAAATTCAACAATGGCGACACCATCTGTAACACTGTCACAACTAGCCTTCTCAAATGCTCCACAAACACCTTGTGGATTCCCGAAACTTGCAAACCGAACTCCGGAAATCGGTCGACCGTGACATGACAACCCAACCGTGTTACCTTCAGACACAGTACCACAAGCTGACCCGACCACGACGGTCTGAAAATTTACTAGCCAAGGATTCCCACTAAATTCTTCGAATAAGACAATTGTATTCACATCTTTGTCGAGGAACGAGCGAGGTACGTGGTAATATCTTTGAGTTGGTTGACCGCAATTAGATGCACACTTGTCTCCATCGTACGAACCACGGTAATCACAAACATCATTGCTGCAACCTTCTTCGTCCGCAATGAAGCTTGGCCAGTATCGGCCAATGCTGTGTCCATTGATCCAAGCTTCGCCTTTGCCCAGTCCTTGTAAATCTACAACTACTGGGTCTGTTCCCAGAGGAGCTTTAAAGCTAGCCTGACGATGATACATCATATATGTATATATACGAGGAGAAAAATAACAAAATGATATAAAATAATTTTATGTATTATGTATTATTACCTTGTACCAAGTCATATTTCTATTGACAGGAACATTTTGTGATGACCATTTGACATTTTTACAATCTGGGTTGAAAATTTCATTGTTCATGCCATTCAAACCAATCTTGTAACTCCACTTGTTAGAAGACAAATCTTTGATAATTGTTTCATCTCCCTTGCGACCAACAATTTCAACAGGCCCAGGCACACCAGCTTGTGTCAAATCGAACATTGGACCATAATTCTATACACATAATTAAACGAATTAGTTAGTTTAATTTTGAAAATTATAAAATTAATATTAATTAGTTATAACTGGTTTAGTGTTTAGTACCTGAAAACCAACCGTGGCACTAAGGAGGGCGATCTTATTAAGTCCAGGAGATAATTTAACTTCCTTTTCAAACACATAGTTGAATACATTATATTTGCCCCATTGAGAACCTGCAAAATCAAAGTTAATTAATTCAACCAATACATAATTTTTTTTAATTCTATGTATCAAGAAATCTAATAATGTCCCAAAAGTTGATAATTTACTTACCAAGATATTTTCCATTAACGTATGCATGAAGAATTTGGCCACTGCCGTTGACGCGAAGTGTCATGTTGTCACTCCAAACCGGATCATCTTTCCCAAGTTTTACACTGTTTAAAACAATTTACAGAATAATTACGCATACTAAAGTTATGTGAAATTATGGATTTAGCAAGTAAATAAAAATACACACACCTTGTCATATACCACAAATAGTCACTGGTATCATTAGCCATTTCTTTTTGATCGACAATTTGTTGAGCAACAACTTGACCCTTGCCTCGAACAATAGTATCATGAGTCATCTCGGACCTCCACATCCATTCAAGACTACTTGGATACGCTTCATTAGGTTTCTTAACCATCACAGATGTTTGAACATTCACCTGAAATACATGTAATTTAATTACGTATTTTTACAAAAATTATATATTTTAAAAGTACAAGTAATTTAAAGAAAATTACCTTTGCGGTATTGAAGGCTACGGTCTTGCAGTCAGGAAGAATGCTAACAGACCATGCAGGAACAACATAATCAACATCTCGGAAGTTGACTGTTGCATCGCTGCTCTCATTTGCATTTCCCAGAAAGCAACTCGAGGCTTCTTCGGTGGCATAAGTAGTGGCCTGTAAATTTTTATATCTTATAAGTAATTACAATTCTTTTGGAGAAATTTTTTTTAAAACGAAAAAAAAAAAACTTACAGTGACAGAGGATCCGAAATCCAAAGTGGAGATATTTCCATAAGTCAAAGTTTTCTCCATTGACTTCAACACAGAATGAAGTTGCTTCAAGTGGCCCCACTTGGGTTGGTTCAAGTTACCTATTGGCAACATAATTAAGTTAAAAGACAGAAAATTACCGTATTCATCAGACAGTAAAAGAAAAGAAAATTACCGTATTCATCAAGAGGTGCATTGTAATCGTATGAAGTAGTGATGTACGGACCGCCAGCAGTTCTACCGAAATTGGTACCACCGTGATACTAAAAGAATAATTAAAAACAAATATTTAGAATTGAGCTTATAGTTTGAAAGAAATAAGTAAATTTATTTTTATAAATCCAATTACCATGTAGTAATTTTGGAAGGTTCCACCAGTTTGGAAAAATCTTGCAACAGAATAGGCAAGATCCTCAGCAGTTCTAAATGGGTCTTTCCCGCCCCAGCTTTTAAACCTGATAAAATACCCATAATTTTGATTAATTAATTAATTAATCAGAAATCTTGTATAATTAACGAGATTATATATATATATTTTTTTTAATAAAAAAAACTCACCAGCCTGTCCAGTTTTCTGTCCACATTTTAGGGCTGGTGGGATTCTTTGGAGTGTATGAATCACAATAAAAGCCATTGCATGTCTCTATCTGTTGATTAATAATCAAATTAGAAATTTATAATCATTAATAATTTTATAAGTAAACATATATACATACATATATAATAGAGGAAGAAATTACCATAGGCTCCGGAGCATCGGTTTGTTGGCACATTAACCATGGAACTCCAATGTGAAGGGAGTCAGCCATATTTGCACACCAGTCAATGTAAACTTTGCCAGCATCTCCATAAGAAGACATCACATTCCCATATTCATTCTCAATCTGAAAACAAATTATTAATATTATCATTACGCAGTTTTTTATACTCACAAAAAAAGTTTGAATGATAAAAAAAATTTGTAAACATATATAAATATAGCGTACATATATATATATATATATATATATATACCTGGGCTAAAATAACGGGTCCTCCTTGTGATGCAAACAACTTCTCTTTTTTAAGCATATCAACTATCAAAGTTGTAAAATTCTGCATCTCATTCTGAAAATATTGCATTAAATAAAGAATTAGAGACAATTAATGAATAATAAAAGTATAAGATACAAGTAAAGCAAGTGATGAGATGATGAGTTTACCA